AAAATAGTTTGTCTTGTGGAAGCATGTAAAGGTTGTCTCTGACAGGGATTTCTGCAACCTCGGCTCCGAGGGCTGGGGAAAAAAATTTCTCTGGAATTTCCTAAATTCCAGCAAGGAAAACATTTCCCTTGAAATGGCCTATCAGCCCTTCCCCCCCTCCCTCGCTTCCTGACACTGCTGCAGTTTCTGCAAAGCCAGAAGGAGTTTTCAGTCTTTATTCAAAAGGCTGTCGCACAGATTTTTAGTCAAGAAAGAAATTTGGGTCTAAGAGTCTCATGGCATCAGATGGCATGCTCTTACCGTGGGCTTCGGGAACAGTTCCACCAGGTGAAACTTAACATTACTAACACTTAATTTGCATAAATATAGAACTGGAGATCCTGAATCCCAGGTATTACACATTGGTCTAAATATAGCGAGTTGCAGTTATTGATTCCAGTCCAAGGAGAGCCTGGGAAAGGATCAGATTTCCACTTAGAGAATCAATCTTGTCTGTGAGTGTGTGTGAACACTGACATTTTTGGCCTCATGCAGTTTAGGATTTGCTATAAAGTCATTTTGAAAGCTATGGAAAACCAATAATGGTAAGCAATTTAGCTCTTAAATGTAAAGCCACTGATAAAACTGAGATAACTGTAAGCTCTGGAAAAAAAAAAAAGAGGTTACGGATGTAAACAGTCTCTTTTGTCTTTGCAGCAAGACGATTATTTCAGATGTTGAAAAACTGAACAATTTTTTTTTTGGTGTTCAAATCACTTGAGATTTTATTGCTTTTGTTTGTCCTTAGAAGTTTTTAGTCTCTTTTCTTATTCTTTTATTTTTTTTTTAAAGGTGCTGTCCCTAGTCAAGTTATAAGGCAACATATTTTATTGATTCAGAACTCTAATACATAGTATGGCCACTGTTATCACTGCAGCTTCGCAGCTACCGTGAGTTGGACAACAGTCAAAAGTGCACGACAATGCACAACAGAGCCAGTCTCCTGACCTTACAATATACAGGACACTTTGGTTCTCGGGATGAGAGATTATAAATGTAGCTTAGATGCTGCCTCACACACTTTGCATAATAAAACATTTATATGCTGTCATGAAGAGGGTGTAAAGTCTAAGTCACACTGCAGACTGGCTGTTCTCAGCTTCTCCATTTGGGCAGGTGTGAGAGACAAGTTGTAGATATGCCACCAGTGAAAGCATATAAATGTATCTGGTGCAAACGTTTTACAAGAGTATTTATAAATGATTCAACAAGGGAGAGCAAGAAAGAGAGTGAGAGCTAAAGTGCAATTTTAAAATAATATAAATAATTGAAACGTAGAAGTAAGATACTAATTAGTTGTAACTGGTTTTGTTTTATAGGCACAGTTTAGTTTTTATGTCTATAGATCAATCTTTTTCTCTTCTTCCCCCTCCAGTAATTTTCTCTGATGTATAATGGAGTTTCAATGGTCTAAATCTAAGGAACACTGCTTAGTAAGAGGACAGAAGAGGCAATGATAAGGCAGTATAGTGCAACTCACTATGTAACATTAGAAAAGGAACAAGGATGGAGTTAGATCTTCCGTGGTGATGTATAAAATCAGCCTTCAAAAAAAAAAAAGAAAAAAAAAAAGACAGGCTTTCCAGTTATATGTTGACCCATGTTTTCTAAAATGAGAGAGCACATTTTCCAATACAAAGGAAACAACTGAAGGTTCATAATTTGTTTTGTTGTTACCAAAAAAAAAAAGAAAAAAAAAAAAGCAGATGCTGCTTTAAGGAAAACATTTAATTCTAGGAATTTCTGTACAACTGACCTCAGCAAGCTTTTCCATCTTAGATGGATGACTTCTGCTTGAGACCCTGAAAGATTAAGATGCACACACACCTAGAGTAGTTTATTGCAAAACTAATATTGTAACTTAAAAAACCCAAACAGATTCTGTACAAGAATACTGTTCAAATGGAATGTGTTAAAATAACATTTATTAATAAATACTTTATAAAATTCTATGTGAATACTAAATTAATAGATTCCTGTTTTAAAATTGCTTTGGTCCTCATGAATTTTCATAAATTCACTCTATACGCTTTTTTTTTAAAAAGGTATTAGCTGCTAAAAAGCACATTTTGCCTAAACTAAAAGGCTAGTTTTCAACACTAAATATTGTTGCTTAAAAAAATATGAATCCTCAAAAGTTGGGCATTTAACAACAGTTATAGCTGGCTTGTTAGTTAACAGGACAGAGTCAGTTAACACACTAAATCCACACGCACTGAGGCACTGAACCATTGACTTTCCACTATTCAGAAGACGGGCAGCAGACATTTAGCTTCGTAGCAGGAATTAACTCCCAACAGCGTGAAATTCTCCATAAATCATCATCATCATCATCATCATCGTCGTCGTCGTCCTTATAAAACACACCATGATAGCACACAAACTACTTGTCTCCCACAGGCAGCGTTACGAATATGGCTTGCATAAATTGACGCGGGGAAGGGGGGCCGGGGATGAAGGAACCGGATCACAGCATCGTTTCTTTCCAATCGAAGTATTGCAGTTGTCCGTGGCTGAGATTCCCAACGTGCTTCAGATGTCGCGCGACAAGAGCTGCCGTCCACAGCAAGACCCCCGCCCGGGCGAGGGGCCGGCCGAGCTCGCTGCCCTGCTCGTGCCCGGGAGAGCGGGCGAGGGAGGGAAGGGGTCCCAGTCGTCCGCTGGCGGCGGGCTGGGGCCCGGAGCCCGGCGGCGGGCTGGGTTGGCAGGCCAGGAGGAAAGCGGAGCAGCCTCCGGTAGCAGCTCGTGGAACAGCGGGATTTCTCCTCGGCGGGAAGAGCGTTTAGAGTGAGGTTCTTGGGAAGAGGCCGCTGCCACCGACCGACCGCGCAGCAGAGGGACGTCCTGGGGAGAGAGGGGCAGGGGCTTCTCCCGCAGCCCTTGCTCAGGCAGCCTCCGGCGCCTGGCCAGACTGGCAGCTTGAGGAAAGGCTGCAGGATCACTCCCCTGGAAAACAAGAGCGTTTTAATGTGGAAGCGCATCTGATGAATAATATAAGGTGCCTGGTACGGTTGGTCCTTTTACCGATGATATAGCCGATATAAATATGCTGCGTGTTGTCTTGGCCTGTGAACCTGCGACAGAGTTACAAGAAGCAATAGCAAATAGCTTTTCATCCTTTACTTATTTCCACATCACTAGCAAGGATTATACCTAAAGGCCAATAGTATAGAGAGGAGACATTTCATTGTAATTACACATTTAGGCCAACATGTGTGGTTGGCTTGCCTAGTTAGCATTAAAAAAAGAAATAATTGAGCTATATATAATACACATCAGTCAAACTGTCAAGTTGCTGAATTTAACAAAACTTAGGCAAGGTTTTTGTATTTTTTTCTTTTTTTTTTTCTTTTTAATGTAGAGGCATTCAGTTTAACAGCTAAATATTTTAATTGAGGAGACTGAATAAAATGAAGCTAAACCGTAGTTCTAGTGTAGTGTAGCTCGACTGGGTATGCTAATGTTACCAACAACTTTGATTTTTATTTTTTAATGTATTTAAGTGCTACCCATATAGAGGGACAGTTTTTTAAATTAACCCTGCGATGGCATTTTCTTTTTCATGGTGAACGATGAAATTCAGACACAGGGGAAATGCTTATTTGGGTTTTTTTACATAGTGGATACTCAGCTGGAACATTTTGCTCGACTGCATATTTGAAAAAAGTTCCCTTGGGAGCCATGATGAAGCAAAACCACTTAGCTATTACAACTGGAGGTTAAAAAAAATTATAGATTCAGTATTTAAAACACTTTAAAAGTATATGTTTGTCTAAAATATAATAGAAAATCCTTTACATTTGTATTTTTTCGTAATTTTTTTTGGTTCTTAGACTATATAATCAAGTCAAGATTTACACTGTACATTAAAAATCCTCTTCTTTTGAATGTATTTGCATAAACGGAAAGCGAGCTGTTAAAGAAAAGAATACTAATAAAAAGTTAGTTACCAAGATAAGAACTAATTCAGAAATGAATGATCCTCAGAGTTTTGCTTTCCCTTCCAGGCAGGCCCTGCTCCTTACAGTGCCTCACGCTTCAGTTGTTTCACTCTCCCTCCTGCACAGGAAAGAGCCACCCTTTTAAAACCCACGACTCCTCTAAAAAAAAAAACCACTGTCTTTGAGGAGGAGAACTTTGTTTCAGAACAAAGCGTGTTCAAGGTTACAGGATTTGCTGGGAATAACGTGAATTAGCTTTTGCTATTAAAGATGCAGCTCAAAAATGTTTGAACATTTATCACCAGCTTGGAGCCCGCTACCTAAGTAAGCAGCGGGAGGTTTTGCCGCTGACAGATTTGAGAGCAAAATCAGGTCCCAATATACAGCAAGGCAGTGTAATTAACTGGCATCATCTCTGTCTGATTTTCCCATCAATCGCTGGTACCACTCGGGGATGCAAATCAGTCACACTGAGGGTCAGGCCCAGAGTCCAAACAAAAACCTTAATTGTGGCATAAGGCTCTTTTCCAGACCCTCTTTGCAGGACTGAATTTTATCCAGAGTGCAGTGGGATTTGCCATTCTTGCAGCGCTTTTTAGTGGCTGCATGCCTTCTAAAAATTATTTAGCGTCCTAATGAGACAACTCCTTACCCGCGGTAAACGGGCGTTAAGTGCCATTAAAGTCAGTGAAGCTACACTGCTGTCTGCCAGCTCAGGATCAGTCCATGGATGCTTAAAGGAATGCCTGCAGAGAGCAGGTCTTTCCCTGGGAATTAAAAATGGCATTTTTCCAACTGGTCAGAACCGTTACGCTGATTTATTTCTCATTTATAGCCTGTGAAACCTGAGGCTGTTAGTTTTCATTGCCAGAACAACGCAACCGGGTTAGGGAACAGAACTTTTCCGAATTATTATATACTACATGGATTTTTCTATGTTAATGACTGGCAGTGCGAAAGAATTGCTGTGATTCTCAGGTGTTGCTCGCTGTGCCTGTACCATGCCACAGAAGCTTACAGGGCTGCTAGCATCAACACAGCTGGCTCTCAATCCTGCTTCACCTGGGGCCACACTGCTTTCGCCTTTTGCTGTTTATTAAAAACACTAAATCAGGAGCATTTCTATTTTCTAAAAGCCAAACGCTCAGCACAGCCCAGCTGCGGGTGAAGAGCTAGTGAAAGCAGAAGCCGTGCCGACAGTTTTTAGGTGAGCTTGAAGTTTTTCCTTGTTCATCACTGTTCTTTTGAGAAAAAGAGAGGGAAGCGAGAAAGCCTTGGAATGAAAAAAAGCAGGAAAAAAAGCTGAGGGATGAAACGGGTTTGGAAAGGGAAAAAGAAGGTGTAAGAATAACTGGAGGAGGAAAAAGCCAGGGTAGGGGAGAGAGGAGAAGGGGGAGGGCTAGACAAAAGAGCATGTTATTTGGGCTTGGTTTTGTCCTGATAGCCACATCCTATATAACCGCTTTGAAAGAGGCTCTGAACGCAAGATGGGGTCTGCTGATAGCACAACGCTAACTCATTTTTTATTATGCTGTCAGCAGATGCCCTCTCTCTATATTTATAGCCTAATTACTCTTAGTTACCTACATATGACTCTGTTTAATACTTTTCATGCCTCACGTTGGCTAACAAGCTGCAGTTTTACACAACTCCATGTTTCTGAGGCTTCAGGCTAGATTGGTGAGAAGGAAACATGACTATGTACAGAAACAGCTAGGTTTATAAACAAGTAACTGGTACCAAAAAAACTGGAGAAAGCACCAAAGCATTTCTCAGGCTGATAGCATATTAATTGCATAACTCCCTTTTATGTAACTAAGTATAAAAGACATTTTAATAACTATAAAAATGAAAGCCAGAGTCTTTCAAGAACTGAGGAATCTTCCAGGCTTGAGTTACAGTTGCAGATGTCCTTAGCACAGAGGACGCTTTGATACGCTACCACACTCCCCTAGCAGTTTCTGATCAACCACTTTTAAAGAATGGGGTTGATGTCTGTTCTGTGGCTGGCGAGCTGGGTGAGAGTGGAGCTTCCCACGACGTCGCTGACGGAGGAGGAGGTCGTGATGGTGTTGTGCTGGATGACTTGCTGCTGGGAGCAAGCTGGGACCGGGCTCGCGGGAGGACTGCTCTCGGGACCTGGGAAGGGGGTGAGGGCACAGAGACAACACACATTCATTTTTCCATCCGAGTTACAAGCCCAGGCTGGGTGACACTCCTGGATGGAAAAGGGATGTACTACTATGGCAGCAATACTAACAACCTGAGGCATGCACAAGGCCCAGGATTTCAAAATACAGTTATCCAACACTCTCTGTCTTCTGATCTTTTACAGGTTGTTTTTGTTTTGTTTTGTTTTGTTTTGTTTTAAGCGAGCTTCTCTGATATCAACCTGACTTGTGGAGTCGGGACCTTGAAAAAAGTCCAAGACCTTAATGATTATGAAACCAATGTTGGCATAAGAAGTCCGATATCTCAAGGTCTATAAAATCAGTTGGGATGCTTAAACGCTTTATTCACTCCAGCAGGAATCAAAATTGGAGTGCAGTACACTGCAGCAAAGAAAATCTAATTCGAGCAACAGTTGATAGGCATGTAATGCAATTACGTATTTTTTTCTTTGAGTACTGTTAAAGAGCCAGATGCATAGTGATGCAGAGGAGATAGAAATGGGCTCTATTTTAAGAGAATGCCGCAATCTAGCAGATATTAACCCTGAGGCTCTTCTGAGCCGTTCTAGAGCCAAGCAAAGAATTTATCCCTAAATTACCACACTCGTAAAATGCATCAACTAGACAGAATCGATTCAACGTCTCCATTAGATGAGAATTTTTTTTTAAAAATGAAAGAGTTAAAAAAGAGTTAACAAACCTTGAAAACCTGTGCCATGCCTGGTCTGCGCCACTGTCAGAGCACAGCACCATTTTCGCTGGAGGGGACTGTAATGTTTTCCTTTTTAACTTTCCTTTTGAGAGTTATTTTAAGGTTCTGGCAGCGCTGCACCCAGGAGGACTCTTGCAGGTTTGGAGCTGCGAGTTCAAGCGGGATCCTCCACAGGGGAGTGAGCGTCCATCCGTGTGCATCTCCTTGCGGAAGGGAGGGGTGGGGAAGGCTAGCTCTGCTGTGGGGGATGCAAACCAGGGCTTTTGTGGTTTTGAGCAGGGCTGGATAAATAAGGGCAGGAGATTGGATGGCTCGGATGATGTTTGAGAAGACAGGTTCAAGAGATAATATGACCGACAAGGGGTTCTGCAGGGAAGAATTGGCAACTTTGCTTTCCTGTGAGGAGTGTGGAGACAGTGCAAACATACCAGCTACTTACTTAGATATCCTTGCGATTCTTTCTGCATAGCTGTTATCGGACAGTCTTTATGTGTTAACAATAACTGTTTCAGCTGTGCTACCTCATTTTTCAGCATCGAAACCTCGTTCTAGAAAAGAAAGAGAGGGTTTGGTTTGCCACAAAGCTTAAACCAGGCTCTTCTGCAAATTTTAAACCCAAGAACACAGAAACTGCTCCACGACGTCGGAAGAACTGAGCAAAAACGGCACTCGGTGCTCGTGCGCTGGGTGTATGTTAACATTTGTCCGTAACGTTATTTTTTATCTTCTTCTGAAGGCAATTTGGCCAGACCTGTGGGGGCAAACGGCAGCCTGCCACGCTCGGGCGCAGGGTGGCAGGGCTGCTGTCGCCTACAGCTCCGCTACAGCTGGTGCCTGGGTGCTGCTCACACCGCTGTGTTTGGGAGGAGGGACATTACGCAGTCGGTCTTTCTGCTCTTGGCAGCACGCAGGCACACCTCTGGATGGGGCCAAAGTACTGTGCCCACCGTAAGAAGTGCGGCACTGTAAGAAGGAAGGCTTTTATTATCATATTCAGGATATTTTCATCTATCCACTTCACTCGCCTTACTGGTAGACCGATCTATTTATGCTCCTATCTCGCTGGCTTTGAATGAGGGTTTAGCTACATGCTCTGCTCTGAAGAGGTCTTTTACAGCCGAGTTAACGGCACTTCCAAAAAAAATCCCCACAAAAAGCAGCGACAAGAAAAGAAAATAAATACAACTCCATCTAGCGCAGGCTTCTAAATCCCAAGACAGCTTTTTCCTGGCTTATCCTGCTAAAGTGTAATTATTTCTTTAATTGAAGCGCGCACGTCTTGATTAATCGGCTTTGATTATGCCCGCGCTCCCGCTAGGAGCCGGCTGCGCGGGGGCAGCCCCGAAGGCAGCAGGGCCTGCCGGCACCGCCAGCCCCTCCGAGCACAAAGAGCCCCTCTGTGTCCTCGGGGGCGCAGACAGTGGCTCGCACCTGAAGCTGCATGTTTGTCTGGGTGAGCTCTTCTGCTTTCTTTTCCAGTGACATCACCCAGACCTTCCTCTTCTGTCTGCAGCGCGTGGCAGCGGCTCGGTTCCTTTCCAGAAATTTCCGCCTCCTCTCATCCGGGTCTTCGTCCACCACCCTCCTCCGGCGACCTCCAGTCGGCTGCGGCGGCTGTATCGTCTGCGTGGGCTGCATCTGCTGCGCCGCCGGCGAAACCTGGCGGGGAAGAGGAGGTTTGGCAGGGGGTGGTGAGGGGGGGGAAGTTACAGAGGGGGATGCTGCAATGGGAAGGGAAATCTCACACGCTCATCCTGCTCCCTGGCGAGGTCTGCAACGGGCACAAGTCGAAAGGCTGCGCCAGATGCCACTGAAATTAGCTGCTGGCAAATCCTTACCGTGGTCAAAGGGGAGATTTTTTTGAAACGATCCTCTGAATATTAGTAGGGAAAATATTTTTCCCCTTACAGTTAGTTATTAAAAACATTCACTTAGGTACTTTCTCTGCCAATCACCTATTTCAAACCTGAAATGTCAAGTTTCTCTCAGCAGCTGCTTTAAACAAAGCAGAGGGCTGTAGCGGCCTTCTTTCTGTCTCTCTTTTCTCTTTTTTTCCCCAATTGCTTCCAAAATTTTAGGACATTTCTATTTCACAGGCTCCCCCACCTCCGTCTCATGCTTTAGCACCTCTGGAGACAGGACCTGCAGTGCTCTTTGCACCTGAGTAGAGCTGGGCAGCCGCGGGCTGGGTTCACACAAGGCCAGCAGACCTCGGTGCCCCTCAGCTGGGGGGCAAAAGAAAGGATTTAGGTACCTGAACTCGAACTTGCATTTTGGTATCCCTGCACTGCGTGGAGAAGGGATATTCTCTCTTATCAGGTGCTTCCATTTGACCCCATAGATGCCATACTCCTTTTTATTCAGCAGCCTGGCTTTGACAGTAGAGGCACACCACTTCCAGCCCCGCCGCTACGAAACTAAAAAAAATTGTGTTCATGCTGCTTCAAGTGCAGGAGAGTATTGATCCTGCTCCTGAGAGTAACTGCCCCATGCCATTACAGAAAAGGCGCGTGGTGGGGGCAGCCCCGCAGAGCCGGTGCTCCGACTCCTGGGCGGATGAAACCCAAGCCCACGTCCCTGTCAGGAACCAGCATCAGACTTAACGTTCAGCCGCCTGGGAATAGGCAGCTTTGGACTGCTTTCCTGCCTCTCTGTGGCACCCAGGCCACGGGGCTCTGGATTGCGCGTGGGGCTCGGCAGCCCGACCCACCAGGTCCCATTGCTCACGCCCAGTGGGAGCTGCTGCCGCTGTTCACATTGCTGCCGCCGCTCCGGCACAATCTGGAACAGTCTGGAAACCTGAATTGTTAACTCAAAATTAACCCTCTTCTTCTGGCAAAGGCCCAAACCTCCAAGGTGCTTCCTTTTGACTCCAGGGAGTGGACGTACTCAGCGCTTTGTCAGACTGAGCCCTGAATTTCAATTGCGGCAATTAACATGTGTTTGCCTAACACCTCTGCCTGTCTCAATTAAAACGATACTATCGTCTTGCGAGGTCGCTTTTCTGTCTAGAATCTCGCCACAAACTGCAAAGAAGAATTTGCTCCCTCCTCCAGCTGACTTGTGTCAATTAAAGTGGCAATTTTATGTGTAATTATTCTGTGCATCTGATAACACTTTTTGCATAAAGCTGAATTTATTCCCAGCTTTATGTTGCACAGTCAGGGAATCTCTCTCTCAGGAGCAGAAAAACGTTTTAAAAAAGTAACCTTCTAAAAATAAATAAGCCACCCCACACTTTCTGACTGGTTTTTAAAATTTCAGCTTGTCTTAACTCCGTATGTTTGCTGGTAAAATCTCCAACTCTCTCTCCACATGGGGGGTTGCAGTCCCAGGGCTACCGCAGCTGCAGTGGCTGCAGTCCCCAGCGCTGCGCAGGACCGCCAGCCAGCACCGCACAGGACCGCCGGCCATGGCCCCCATCCCCACCAGCATCCCTGCTGCCGCTGGGAGATCGCTGCCGAGGGATGCCAGCTGCTCCCTGTCCACCGAGGCCGGGCATGCCGCCTCTTTAGCAATATGTCTGAGTGCAGAGGCCTCAGAGATCCCTTTTAACATCAACATCTCATCAAAGGCCTTTCATTTTCTCACATACGACACCTTTCCAGACTTCAGAGATCTGTTATTTATATTTCCGGACACCAAAAGCTTTCCTTATCCCACTTCTCTCCTTTCTCATTCAGCTTTAAAAATTCTTGTTTCTTCACTCTCTCAGTGGAGTCTGCTATACAGGCAGAAAAAGGTAACTACACAATTCTTTTTTTTCCCCTCATATGGTCATTTTCTCCTGAATAACTAGTGAGTCATTTCGTCTTCCGAATGCACCAGTCAGTCTTTGGGCAGTCAGAGCACATTTTCAGAACAACAAATTCTCTCCATCTCTGGCAGATATTAATTATAAAGGTTGCCATTACGTCAGTAATAATGTCACGTGGGATAATTAACTGACTCTTAACTAGATAGCTCTTAACCCTCAAATCTGTTAGGCTGTATCTTAGTAACTGTCTAAGCATCATTCTCTAGCAGGATTTCGCTGCCCTGCCTAGGGACATAAGAAAGAAAATGAACATATATTAAAATTGAGGTTAATTTTTTTTTTTAGAGGATGCTAATCATGTATCCATAATGAAGACAAACGAAGGACAACTAAGAGAATGAAACAACATCCAAACCCCTACTCTGCTTAAGCTATCAAGTTTGATATGAAGAATCCTTCGTGGGACCAAGACAAGAATAATGGTATCATTTTTGTAGTAGTTGAGGCAACATAGCCACAACTTGATAATGTCTCTCACTTTCTCAGAAAGATACCTATCAGAAGGTGATTTCTACTTTTATGCTTGAGCCAGTATTTCTCTCTGTTCTTTGCAACTTACCACAAAACTAATACCCGTTCACTCATTCTACGAAAGCATAATTCATTGACTTCCTGTGTATCAAAATGGTAGCTGAAAAGCATGAAATGAATTCTGACTTTACAGGAGGGTGTGGTGTAGAATAACAACAGTCTTGGCGTGGGAGCACACAGCTTACAGCGGTGTGGACCATGCTGTGATTTGGCAGGTGGTTTGGAATGGAAGAATCTGGTTCAGAAGAATAAGGAGGTTAATAATTAGTAAAACGCACCATAAAATTAACGTCTGCTGGAGCAATCTGACCCCCAAAGAGGCCATTACCATGGGGACTACAGATGAGCTTAGAAGGTAATAACCATGTGGTTATTACTCAGCAAACCCTTTTTTTGTCCCCACTAATGCATCTGTTCTGAAATCACTATTGCCTTTGCACCATGGGAGCAGACGCACAGCAAGAGCTCTGCTGCCCAGGGAAGCCGCTGACCATAGGATTCCTACTCCATCACCCTCCATTCCTATCCTCTAGGTGACACTTACACCTATGGACGAGGTGAAGACCGCTGTGATCCCTGACGGGGCCTTTTGCCTCCAGTGACAGGCTGTGCACGGCAAAGCTCATCTGACTGCACAGGCCCAGCTCCAGAGACTGCATGGTGCTGGGACACAGGGTGAATCTGACGTAGCTTTGTGGCTGCCAGTCAGCCCATCTACCCTGGTGCCTGTATCTCTTCTTGCCTGCTTGCGAGTCTTTTGGGGTGCCTAGCTAACAGGGAATATAAAGCACAAGAAGTCTAGGCTGTCCTAACTGGAATGAGTGTAAGAGAGACATGGACCTGCTCGAGCGGGTCCAGAGGAGGGCCACTGGGTCATTGATCTTATCCTTAAAACTGGGAGCTTTGTTTTCTCTGGTAGCTGCTTTCTCCTCACCTGTTAAAAGCGGTAACATGGATGCTTTGCAGCAGTGCTCCATACTGTAGTATCTGACTCCCTCCCCTGCATTAACATGTTTATCCTCCCAACCCCTCGGTGAGGTGTCAGTACTATTACCCTTGTTTTAAAAGCCTCAGAGAGGTTAAGTGACTTCCTCCACCTCATCCATGGAGTCCTCAGTCTGCTAAGCACTGCTTTACCCTTACTCTCTCATGGATCTCCAAGAGAGCCATCAGGTTACTTCTGGTTTCTCTGTTATGCGATAATGTCTTTTTATTGGAGTTTTTAAACAACTCCAAGGAAAATAACTCATTAACAGATGGGAAAATAATTGAATTCACAAAGTAAAAACTGAACTAAACTTAGGAAAGCTCTGGACATCTTCTCACAGGGGAGTCTGCTGCTCTCTTATTTAGACTGTTTCTCTAAAGCTGACAATTCATTTTACATTAGCAAATGCTTTAGGGAAATCCCATGTGCTTGCAGCCTCTGCAATAATAAAGCTAGATGTTAGTAAATAGTTAATGTTGTGGGACACTGGGATGTCAGCCAAATCCTCTCATTTTCTTTAATGTTTTCTAAGAGCTTGTCTGAAAGGTATTTGCAAGAAACACAATACTTCACAGATTGAACTTCTTATGGCTGGCACTCCTCTTTGTCTTCATTCGATGCACTGCCCACTTGCCCTCCTTAAATTTGCTCCCCAGACCTGACATGTTACAGTCACTGCCCCCAGAGCTTTATTTTTCTTGTGTGATCCTGATGCAGAAGCCTATCATCTTAAGACATTAATAGAATTCCTCTTAATAATGAGTCTGCTATAGTCCATGCTCACTAGTTCGTTAGTTCAAGAAACATTCAGTTCAGATACTGAATTATCTAAATTGCTGACGCCAATATACCTGGTCCAAAAATTGAGACCTCCATCTCATTCAATGGAGACTTTCACTGTGTTTTCATCATCTGAATCCAATTCAAAATTGCCTTCCTGGTTTAAATCTCTCTCCTTGGATTGGCTTCACCATCTTTTTCTCCTGTCACAACATCCACCAACTACTGCCCGCACTCTCACCTAATCTTGGCTTTCTCTCATACTCTGCAGATGGGGTCTGCTATCCCCTTCACAGGGTCTGGATTCTTTCTTCTTTTCCTCTAAGCCAGTGTATTTTACCTTAGAACTACCTCTACTATCTCCAGACTTGAACACCCCCCCCAAACACACACACACCAGTGCCATTTTAATTCACTAAATATTGTGCCACGTATTTCTGCAGGTAGAACACATACAGCTCTTTAAATCTTGGCCTGAGAAGTTCAGGTTCAAGCACGTTAAGCAACCTATATAATATGCTAATCTCCATAATAAACCTCATCCATAAAAAGGTATGTGGCAATTTGCAGAGCTCAGAGCAGTGAAAAACCTTGGACCTCCTTATAAAGTAAGATACTACAAATGTCTAGCAAATTAAGCAGCAAAACAAGTTGTTGCTTCACTCCGTTTTCTGAATAAAGTTTGCACTTCCCCACCACCTGTAGCAGACATTTATGAGTAGCCTGAGGGGCTTGTACCTAACAAGACATTTGCGCAAGAAGAAACAATACAGAGATCAGGCTTTAACTCCACGTAACAGCAAAACCCAGCAATGCAGCAGGGCATGAAGGTCTACCTGTGCTTGTCCGCCTGAGTGCAGCGGGGGGTGCGGCGAGGTCTGGTGATGTGCCGGGTGTGCATGAAGGTGCGAGTGAGAGTGGTGGTGGGGATGATTCTGCTGGTGATGAGGCTGAGGATGAGGATGGTGCGCCGGATGCTGGTGCTGATGCGGGTATGAGTGATGAGGTGGCAGCGTCTGGTGCTGATGAGGATGTGAGTGCATATGATGGTGTGGCGTCTGGTCCTGCCGTGAGCTCATCATTTCCATCATGTGGCCCATGGTGTTCATATTCCCGTTCGACATGGCGGCAGGATGATGAGTCAGCGCTGCCTTCAGTCTCTGGAACAGAACAAGGCAGAAAATTCAGCATTCATACACGATGATCTGAGCAATCAGAATAAGATTTCTACTGTTGTAGAAATGGTGCCTTGTCCTGTGTTTTGAGATTTATTTCTTGCTGTTCCCTTGATAAAAGGCATCTTATTTCAGTTCGAGAAAGAACATATTCTTGGGCTCTAATCCTGTTTTCCACTGTAAATATGTAAAGATATAAACATCTGAACTGAAATTTAACAGTTACACATTTCCTACTGTGCTGCTGAGGAAAAATAACTGGCTCTCATCCTTTTCTCTTTGGCCAGCTCAGTAGCGTTAGCTTCATCAATTTTGTATTCTTGCAACTTTTAAAAAGGAAAGTCTGATTAAAATAAAGGTGAAACAAAGTTCCCCTCTTCTTTTTACTACAGATATTTTTTAAAAGACTCACTGATAAATATACTGCATTGCCATGTTTTTCAAATTCAGGCTCAAATATATTCTACAGCTGTACTTGTACCCAACCTGTTCTTTCATCAGAAAGACAGGAAAACAATGAGGGTGGCCTCAACCTGATCCTCTTTCTTTGCCGGAAAGTTCAAACATCTGCTCTGTTGTTACCACATGCTAATCGCTCTCTCTGTTTTGTACTCCTCATATTTTGTACTGTCACCGGATTGGGCCTTGGAGTCCTGACCAGGGCAAAAGTCTCCTTAATATCAATGAGATTCGTTCTCTTTTACCTGAACACCATCAATGGGCAATGGGAAGGGCTGCCACATTTTGCACTGCAGGATAGGGCCCGTGTGTACTAAGGCTATAGCTGAAATACAGAGAAAAAAGGTTCCCTTTCAGTGCAATTACAGGGTCATCCCAAAGCTGCGAGCTGTCCTGGCATACAGACACCTCGCTGGTGTCATTCTACCCTTGGATACTGAAATCACTGCTGTCCTACCAGAGTGTGCCAAAGGTAGAGCCTGACAGATGTCAGCTAGGAGAAGGGCTCCTTCCAAACCCATAGAAACCTCTTTTGCACCCATGGTTCTGCATCTTGCTCAACATAGAACATTCTTTACAGGCAGCCACCCAAGATCTCTTTACTTCTTTACATTTTTTAAGAAGTCAGCATGAGCTTGGTTTACTCTCACTAATGCAAGTAATTAGTCAGCAGAAAATGGTAAGATAAAAATGGAGGGAAGGAAGTCCATGGTATCACTTGATGCCAGACTAGCGTGATCTGAATAACCCATCAACTAGCTCATAGTTCATTATCCAGCCAGAGGATATAATGAATAGCAGATAGCTCATCAATAAGAGATGCTACCTATAGGACAGCCAGCAAGAAACAGCAGTGGTACGAGGAACAGAGGTGTGCCTTTCCTCATAGCTGTATCTGTGGGTCACAGGTGGCAGTCAGAAGATCCTACAGGCCAACGTGGCTAAAATCTGCCAGTGGAGGAGCAATCACCAGATTGAACTGCATTTGGGTTTTGTCTTTAAAGCAAAGAGAGTGACTGCCAGGACACTCAGAACCTATAGATGGGAATTTCAATCTACTTTACATTGAAATAACATCTGTCTGGACAACTCCACTGCAAGGCCATAAGTAAGGGCTCCTATGTTCAAAGCTGCTACCCTATAGTGTTTGTGCACCAGGGAGCGAGGAAGAAACAAATTCTTAAGGAGAAAAAAAAAAGAAAAAATATTAGAGAAAAAAAAAGAAGGTTGTTGAAGGCAGAAAGAAGTAACAAGGTCAATTCAAAGTGTCATCCTCAAATTTTTGTATCCCACATGTTTTTGCAGATTTCATGAAAGTCATTCCACTGAGACACTCTAATAGATCCATTAATCCAAATTTGGTGGCTTATTTCACTAACGATCAATTGGCTGAACAAGACTTTAAAAAAAAAAGAAAAGACACATTTGCAAAACACATCAGTGCCTCAGTTTGCATGAAGGAAAACGAGACTAATGACTTTTAAGAAGTTTCCTTAAGAAAGCGTATCAAACCATGACCACACTATGGCATGTGTCATAACGTCACAATTTTAAAAAGAAATCGAGGCAACTATAGCAGCAAGGTTGAATACCTCCTTCCCTACTTCTAAAGTCAGAACAGAGCTCAATCTAATATCAAGAGCAGTAACCCATCCTGGGTACAAAACAGAGGAACTGAGCATCTGTCATCCTTAACGTTTCCGAAATCAAGTGCTGTCCTGGTTACTGCAAGCAGCTTTTTCACAATGCTCAGAATACCTGGTGTTACCCAGGAATGTATTAGGAAAAATATGGAAAATACCACATGAATAAGTCAAGTCCTTCTGCACATCATTCTTCTTCAAAACTTGCTAAGACCTTTTTCATGGGGCTGAGCCACCACGCAGATGTAAGCCAAAACACCAACAAAAGCTGTCATAAGTTTGTTTTCTGCATCAAAATGCAGAATAACCAAGGTCTCATTAGCCAGCAGTTTCATGTGATGAATACCTAACAAAATCTACCAATGCTATATCTGTCAAAGACCTCTGAAACTGAACTACAGCATGTCTTATTCTAAACTGCAGACTTTCAAAGCCAAAAAAAAAAGGAGGGAAAAACTTAATCTGCGAATAAACATTTTTTTTCAGCTGTAAAAACTGCGGCTTATTAGTGTGGCGCGACTTCAAGGAGAATAAATTATTTTGTTTTCTTTCCACAGCCCCTTCTACCACATCCATTTATTTGAGATAGCAAATCAAGAGAGACAGTGAGAGGTCTGACATGCAGCTGGTTTCAGTCAATAGGGGTCATTTCCATTTGGTCTGTGTATTTTACAAGCTCCTTGTTCGCTGTTCCCAATGGGAGGGTGGGCCAGCTGCCCTGGATCCCAGTCCTGGTAAGAAACCAGCTCTCTACCTCATCCTGTCCCAGTGCAGCAACAGCCATTGCCCGGCCCTTTAACTTCGTGCTTAGATCAGCTCCGCAGCAGCAAGAGCCCTGCCTGCTTATGTACCCAGAGCAGCTTTTATCTTCCATTAATCGGTCGCTGCTGCCCATCAGAAACATTTGGGGAACGATAAACATTATTTTTTTTCATTTGGTCTTCAGCAAGATCAATTGTTTTGGATGTTTTAGTTAGAGCACAGGGAGGGAAAATCACCAGAACTTGGTGAACTCTTTGCATTGAGTATGCATAGAGCTGGAAGGGCAGGCTGCATTTTTGTTATTGTCCTTTTTATGTGTGCTAATTGCAAACAGCTGTTTTAGTTTAGTGTCGAGTAAAATGCGATGGCATCAAAATTGACCTTACTGGACTGACTACATTAGCAAATCCCCTCTAGGATGAAATGATAACCCAGGACCTGATCCTGCGGCTGTTCAGTTTTTCAGGAACTGTGTGACTGACTTCAGCAGAGCCTGAGGGTACCTGGCAGTTCACAAATTGGGGCTGAAACAGAGGACTCGCTACTCAGATCTGCTCTCACCAAAACCCGAAATTTCTGCTAACCGCAGTGGCAGTGTTCTTTAGGGCACAATCCCTTTTCTCTCCCTTTTATAGTGCAATTTTCCAAAAAAGCCCCACCAACCTCAAGCAAAGAGGAAATGCAGGTGCTCCTCTTGCCTGGCTTTTAGACCTTACTGATTTTTTTATCATTTCATCAAAGTAACATAGTGACCAACATCAGTTAGAGCTGATTTCCACTTGATCATGACATTTCCATTAACAGCTGTCAGTGACACAGACAACATGAGAATCCTTCACAGGGAACAGCCTGCTTTGCTTCTGATCAAGTGAATAAAGAAAATTCCCTTTTGATCCTACAGGAAGCCAGAAGCCCATATAAACTCTCATTTTGATGCTTAGGAGGAAATAGAAACAGTGGATATTAGTGCTCCACAAGTATGAGTGTTGTGTTCCCTGTACTATTGCTCATGGTAATGCCCCTAACTGACACATTTACTCTGAAGCCACCCTACTGAATGCCATATGAAGTTAACACTCCAGAGAAGTTATCATTGTACCTGGAATACTGGGGGTTTTTTTGGAAACAGACAGTTTTCACAGTGCTTCCTCAATCTAAAGCCTGACATCATGGTGCAGTGAATTGCTTGATGTTTCCTTTTATCAACATAGATCATAATCTATTTGCTGAACATCTTTGGGCAAATCCTAAGTCTGCTAAAAAATGGGCTACAAGCATTTGAGATCACGAATGAAAAATAATACCAGCTTCCCTAACACTTCTGCAGTTCAGGATCTTGCTGCTTTCTAATTTTTCTCTATCATGACATGTATTTCAAGGTTGCCTTCAGTTTTGCCTCACCGTTCTTTCTCTAGAATTGCTAGTGAAAACCAGACAGCATTTTTTTCAGTTTGTTAGAAGGGTGGAAAAAAAAAACCAACCCAAAACAAACTGTAAATTTGGAGGTTGCTTTTCCCACAACTAAAAACTGAAATAATTTGGGGGTTTTCATATATATATATAAAAATATTTCTAATATTTATAGCACGTTATATTTATAGTGCAACAGGCTATAAATATTATATGCCATGATCCGTATATGACAATAAATGACAACTTTCTCCCATTTATTCCTCAGTGGAGAAAGGACAAAAATCTCCTCCAATTTTATAGATGTTATTACCTGAGTGGTCTCTGCTTGCATCAAACAATAAGCTATTATATCATCCAGCTGAATTTTAGGTTGGGACAGACATGGAGTGCTGGTTTTGAATAGGATTGAATTGTTCTGAATAAGTACTGCACTCAGAAAAAAACTCTCTTCCCCTTCTGGTCTGCATGCCCAAATCCCACTAAATTAGAGAATAGACAAGACCAGCTGTAGTATCAGCTTAATGTCTGGTATATTCTTATCAGAAGATTATATCAGACCCCTGTAGGCAGATGGAATATGATCTCAAAGATATTTTCTTGCACTAGTGACTGTGATTCTGGTCCCTGTTATACAGGGGTTTAATAAGTTCCCCAAAGGGGATAGAAGAGACTAGAGAGGGGTGTGAAATCAGAAAAAAAATACAGACA